CCCCCCCCCCCCCGCACCATACCAGGCCACATGCCCTTGACATTTGGAGGGAGCTTTGCCGATGGGGAACGCCTGGAAAAGCACCTTGTCCCCATGCTGAGAACGAGGGCTTCTTCTTCCCACATCCCTGGCCCGGTGGGGACGGAAAGCTGTCGCTGGATGTAAACAAATGGGCGGAATAAGTCCCGTGATGTCACGACTCACTCCGCCCCTTTGTTTACCTTTTCAGAGCAGACCAGTCATTTGCGGTCGTTCTCGTCAGGATCGGTCGTTGGGGATTTTTTTTTTCTTTCGTCGAGTTGGCAATATCTTTCCATTTGAGCCTCTGAACAGTCGGTTCTGGGCGAAGTCGGCCCCGGTGTCTGTATTGCGCTCACTGCGGCGGTGTGATTACCGCGCCGGCGGTGAATCTTAAATACGTTTTCTTGTAATGACACGTTTCTGGAGACGCCGGACTAATTTATTTTACTTATTAATGCTCTTGTGTGAGGAGGGGGGATGCTGCGCAACTGCCGGCCCGCGAGCGTTCCCTTCTCGGGGGCCCTTTTGTGTCTTTTGCGGCATTGGTGGCCCCGGCGAGGCCTCATTTACATAACATATCGGTGACTTGTGGCCCCCCCCCGCCTGTGTCTATACCTGACGTCTCGGACGCCCACTCCTTGCTGCTGCTGTGTGCATTGGGTTTCCATGGGAACCGCCGTCTCCTTGGTAACGGTTGCTAGGAAAGGAGGAGGTGATGGGAGTCTGTGGGTACCAGAAGAGGAGAATTGGGGCACCGGGGGAGCGAGGAGGAACCTGGAATATTAAGCAGAGCGTAGGCGTCTGAGACGAGCTTTGGCGAGGAGACAGCGAGATCCCTGGAGTAATAACGGGGGTCACTGTGCGGTATCGGGGGGGCGGGGGAGGGGTAATTAGTGGATTCATAACCAGACGCGGATCTCATCTCCATGTCTGGGATCGTTATACAGTCCTAGACTGCAACATTGTATCACGTGCCCTTAAAGGGGAACTCCGCTGTGACTCCAATCGCTGCACATTGTCATTGAAGGATCGCCCCAGTGCAGCCAGCAATCCGCTTCAATAGCTGCTGTGATAAAACCAATTGTCTGCATGGAGGGTGAATTGTTTTTATTCTGACAGAACTGCAGTGATGGGGAGGAACAGCAAAGCACATTACTGAGCCCGGAGCAGAGCCTGCATGAGCCAATATGGCCGCCGCGCTCCCCCCGCTGAACCGCCCCCCACACACAACCCCCCACATATCAAATACACAGAAAGGATTGTAGAACATTGACATGATTCCTCCAGTTTACATCCAAATCCAAGAACATGGAAGAGTGTAGATTGCCTCTCGTTGCTGATACGCTGTCTGGGCACAAGCCAAAATGTCCATGTGAGAAGCATCTGATGGAAGCTGTCCTTCTCTAAATCACAGGCTGCGTACTATTTCCAAAGCCTGAATACATGCAGCTGCAGGCCTGGAGAAGAACAGCTTCCGTCTGCACCCGAACCCCCGGGAATGTGTTCTACATGGAGGATGTAATGGACTGCTAATGTATCCAATGATTGCTGATACTGACTGTGTATGTTTCTCTCTCTGGTTCTCTGACGTGCACTGTACACTCCCAGACCAGCCAGGACTCCCGTTTTTCGGTGCTGTGGTTCATTCAACGTCCTCCGGGTGCCGATGGGAAGCTGATCGTACGGAGCGGACCCGGGATGGAATACGGGACCTACGCCGAAGAGGCCGGTCTAAAGGACCGGCTGCAGCTGGAGGTGCTGCCCCCTGGGCAATACACCCTGACCCTGCTGGGGGCCCGACAGGAGGACAGCGGGAGCTACTATTGCCATGTGGAGGAGTGGGTGCTGGACCCCAACCAGGCTTGGTACCAGCTGGCCAAGGACGCCTCGGGGATGACCGAACTCGCTGTCAGGATGCCCGGTAAGAGGGGTGGCCTAGGAGGATGGGGGCTGAGGGAGGAGCCTAGGGAGAGGATGGGTGGGGGAGGAACCTTGGGGGTTGGGCTCAGATTGTGTGCTTTATGTTGGCTGCATTGTTCTGCTAAATTCTGCAGCTTTTTCTTTAATCTCCTAAAGTTTAACCCGGGACGTTCTGTAGTCCGAGTGTTAAAAAAACCAAAAAGCGGAACGTAAAAAAAACAACTGTAGAGTAATTTTCCCTCCATGGAGAGTAATGGGTTCCGGGCAGTTTGGTGTAAGTGGACCCAACCTCAGTCAAAACAAGAAGAGTTGGAACCCCTGTCAGGTTTTTGTGGACGTCATGACCCCTGCTGGGGAGTTTTGGCCATTGGGAAGGGAGGGGTTTAGGAGGGGCGGAGTTTAGGAGGGGAGGAGATTCTCCATCGGGGACGGAGAGACAGGAAGAAAAGAAAAAGGCTAATTTGTGTTTTTTATTGAAGGGTTAGAACATGTCGGGTTTTATTGCTGTCTTGTGTCTTCCTGTCCCGGTGACACCGGTACCCTCCCATATCCTGTCCTGGTGTCACAGGTAGGGAGGAAGTTCAGCTGTCTGTCAGATGCGGGTTTGAGGCGAACCCGAACCTACTCACGGTTCACAGTCCCGCCCAACTAATGTGCCCACCATGACCGATGATGAATTACATCGCTGGACACTATGGTTGACATATATGATGTCACTGGAGGCCATGATTAAGGTGGATGACATCACAGGACACCATGGTTGACGTGGATGACATCACGGGACACCATGGTTGACGTGGATGACATCACGGGACACCATGGTTGACGTGGATGACATCACGGGACACCATTGTTGACGTGCATGACATCACGGGACACCATGGTTGACGTGGATGACATCACGGGACACCATGGTTGACGTGGATGACATCACGGGACACCATGGTTGACGTGGATGACATCACGGGACACCATGGTTGACGTGGATGACATCACGGGACACCATGGTTGACGTGGATGACATCACGGGACACCATGGTTGACGTGGATGACATCACGGGACACCATGGTTGACGTGGATGACATCACGGGACACCATGGTTGACGTGGATGACATCACGGGACACCATGGTTGACGTGGATGACATCACGGGACACCATGGTTGACGTGGATGACATCACGGGACACCATGGTTGACGTGGATGACATCACGGGACACCATGGTTGACGTGGATGACATCACGGGACACCATGGTTGACGTGGATGACATCACGGGACACCATGGTTGACGTGGATGACATCACGGGACACCATGGTTGACGTGGATGACATTGTGATGGACGTCTTCCCATGTGTCTTTCTTTACATTGAACTCTTTGGAAATGGGTGAGGGGTACTGATGTAATCTAATGTAACCCTGTACTCATCCCCCTGGGAGGAGGAGGATACCTGGGGGCCCCCTTATTATAATGGTGGTATAAGCCCCCCCCACCAGATGTTTTTTCCCCTCAACAATGGGATAAAAAC